AAGTATATATATAATTGGTAATATATATAATCTTTAATAAAATGTAAGCTTTAAAGGTCTTGACATCAGTTTTGCCATGGATTTTAAAATGAGCAAAGTCAGTCATTATGAGGTATTAGGAAATGTAAGTATGTTTTAAGGAAAGATCACTTGTGCTTGGTTCTTTCTTCAGTATGTGACTTTATAAAATGAAGGAAGAAAAGATACTACATGTTGCAAATGATGTTTCAATTTTGTCATATTTGTGGGCTTTTCAATGATCTTTACTGGTATAGTCTTTCTCTAGTTATGTGACTTAGTTTTTGAACTCAAGCTGTACTTCGTTTTCATAAAGCTTAAAAGCTTTGTCAAGGACATCTTGCTGTACTGCTTTTGGGGGATTAGATTTTTTTTGTTTTTTCCTGCACTAGTAAATTCTGAAATAGCTGAAGTTGCTCAAGAGTTACCATCTGTTCCACTTCCAGTAGGCCTATTCATCCCTGTATTTCCCCTTGAGCTGTCAGTCCTTAGCAAACTCTAAATTCAAACTATGCAGTTTTTTCTTGGTTTTACTTTGTTATTCACTTTAATCTTGGCTAACATTAGATGTATATTTAAAAATAAATTGCCTTAGTTTTGTTCCATCGTAACTGCAAAATCTGTGTTGTCTCCATTATTATTTCAGTTATGTGTTTTGTACTACCAGGTTGTGTTACTTAATATAGGGTATTTTTTCTTGTTGAAATATCTGTTTATCTATCTATCTGTCTATTCATTTGTTAACCCTTTCTATTATATAAGCTCGTCTTTGCTGGTTTTAATTAATTTTAGGGTTTTTTTTCCTCCTCATTTGTTTAGAGTTACAGAGACAAAAAACTTAAACAGCATCTTTTATAGATTGCAGAAGTGATGAACAACTTTGTCTCTTTTCATTCTTATTTGTATCTAAGCAATTCTATTTAATATCCTATCCATAAAATTATTTCTGTAAATAATGTTTGGTTGTTTCCATAAAATATTTTTCATGTTATTTCCATAGATTAAAGCTGAACAGGTACTGTAATGTCAGTTTTAGTGTTCAGTTAATGCTGCAAAATTTCTTGGATTTTTTGAAATTGCTGTAGTTTCTTCTGCCATAGGAGACTTCCTATTTGGTGGTGTACTCTGGGAGTCAAAATCTGGCAAGTCATCCTCCCAAAACAGTGTTCTCCAATAGAAAACAACCTTGAGGTTGTTTGTTGGGTTTAGGGGTTTTGTTTTTGTGTTGTTGTTTTTTACTTTCCAGGTAAAACTGTACCTTAGTGAATCTGTGTGTATGTCCTCTTCCTGCATTATTTATGTTTATGCCTTCAGCAAACAGAATCCAGTCTCTCACAAAATGAGAACTTGTTTTTTCTTATATATGTATATATAAAATCTGGAAAAGAACACTTTGTTCAGTCTTGCAGTGGGACTGCTAGATTTGCAAAAGGCATCTTGCCACTGTGAAGGATCTCACAAGAGCTGCTTTTGTGTTTGAAGAGTGGGAAGAGAACGAGTTCACTGAATAAACATTGATCCCCATAAAGCCCTGTCAGCTGGTGGTGATGTACAAACTGGTAGCAGTTGTTCTCCCTGGAGAGCGTTGCTGTCCTGTCACAGGAGACTCTTCTAAGTAGTGCAGATAAAGGAATTAATTGCATGTTTTTTCAAAGCAGAAGAGTCAGAGGCTGAATTTTTCCTCTATCTGTTGCCAGCAAAATCTTTGTCAAGATTATATGGAGACTCAGGGGTTGGCTGTTACTAAATCTGATTGGGAATATCTGCTTTTACATGAAACTGTCAAGGTATCACTAATAAAAATGTTAATTAAAAAGGTTGATTCATCAAATTTTCCTCTTTTAGTGACTTTAACTTTCAAACTTTATTATGAGCTTTTGAAAAGTCATTAATGAAGTGTTTAATTGTCACTTGCACAAGCAAAATCTTTTTTTTCCAGTTCACTAATTTAAATTCATTAAGAGTTTGGGTTCAAGGTTTGTGTTTTGGGGTTTGGGTGGGTTGGGTTTTTTTATTTATTTGGGACAGAACAGAAAATCCGTTGAATTGGCAGAAACATTCATGGGCTTCTAGTTGTTACTGTCTTCTAGTTAGGCAAAGCCAGTCTTGGTTCCTAAGCTGACTATGGATCAGCAATTTTTTTTTAAATTACTTTCTTCTTAGAAAAAATCAATTTTGGCTGTGGAATAATAATCCCTTTCCATATTTTTGCTCTTGTATGTAGTACACTGCTGACATCAGTGTTTGAGGTCTGGGATCAACAAAGCTCCAGATAAGTTTCTTTAGAGCTAAAGCTGTATGACAAGCGTAGACATCCTTGTTAAGATTAATCAAGTTCATTGTCTCATTAATGCTTTTACTTTTTTAAATTTAATTCAGGTTAAATTTTATTTTAGCTACTTCCGGAAGCTTGACTGTTTCTTTCTCTATGCACATCCAGAAACTAAGAAAAAAAGTCTCTGAGGATTTAGCGTTTTCTTGCCAATATTTTTATTTCTAGCATTGTATCTAAAGAGATATATTTCACTGACTGATTTCTTAATGTGCAATGTAACTTTTTTGATGGTTCCTTAGAGTTGCTTCATAATTTCTTTACAAAGCTTGATACACAGCTGTGTGACAAGATGTTACAACATGCAACTGCTTGTTGTTTGCACCAGGTAGCTTTCCTGCGTAAAGTTCTTGCTGTGCAGAGTCTGAACAAATAGATTCTTCTGAAAACTAAAATAGATCTTAATGTTGAAATTTTGTGCTTGATCTTTGCACAAAGATAAATTCAGCCTTGTAGAAAGAGGGGAGTGTTACTGAGGCCTTGTAGATGCTACAAGTCCAGGGCTATGGTGTTGGCCAATGTATGCCACGATTCTCCATTTCTTCTACAGCGTGGTCACTCCTTCTACGTGGTCACCTGCCTAGTGGATGAGGGAAAGGCTGTGAATGTCTATCTGGGCTTTAGTAAAGCCTTTGACACCGTTTCCAGCAGCATTCTCCCAGAGAGACTGGCTGCTCGTGGCTTGGATGGGCACACGCTTTGCTGGGAAAAATCTGGCTGGGTGGCCAGGCCTGAAGGGTGGTGGTGAATGGGGTTAAATCCACTTGGTGGACAGTCACGAGCAGTGTTCCCGAGGGCTCAGTGCTGGGGCCTCTCCCATTTAACGCTTTTATCAGTGATCTGGGTGAGGGGATGGAGTGCACCCTCAGTAAGTTTGCAGATGACACCAAGCTGGGTGGAAGTGTCGATCTGCTTGAGGGTAGCGAGGCTCTCCAGAGGGATCTACACAGACTAGAGTGATGGGCCAAGGCCGGTTGTATGAATCAATAAGGCCAAATGCTGTGTTCTGCACTTTGGCCACAGCAACCCCCCTGACAGCAATGCAGCAAGCTTGGGGAGGAGTGGCTGGAAAGCTGCTCAGCACAGAGGGACCTGAGGGTGTTGGTTGACAACTGGATGAACATGAGCCAGCAGTGTGCCCAGGTGGCCAAGAAGGCCAACGCTATCTTGGCCTGTATGAGGAACAGTGTGGCCAGTAGGTCCAGGGAAGTGATTTTTACCCCTGTACTCAGCACTGGTGAGGCTGCATCTCGAGTACTGTGTTCAGTTTTGGGCCCCTCATTACAGGACGGACGTTAAGGCACTAGAGCATGACCAGAGAAGGACAACGAAGCTGGTGAAGGGTCTGGAGCACAAGTCTTGTGAGGAACAGCTGAGAGAACTGGGGTTCTCCCTGAAAGGAGATTGTAGTGAGGTGGGGGTCTGTGTCTTCTCCCATGTAATAAGCAGTAGGAGAAGAGGAAATGGCCTCAAGTTACACCAAGGGAAGTTTAGATCGGATATTAGGAAGAGTTTCTTGGCTGAAAGGGCTATCAGGCGTTGGAATGGGTTGCCCAGGGTGGTGGTCAAGTCTCCGTTGGTATTCAAGAGTTATGTAGACACAGTGCTTAGAGATAGGACTTAGTGAGCACTTGTCAGTGTTAAGTTAATGATTGGACTCAATGATCTTAAATGTCTTTTTCCGATCTGGGTAAATCTGTGATTCTGGTCAAGGGAGATAAGTTTTGTTCAGAAACCTGTTTTTCTAAGCCTAACATTCAGTAAATCAATACAAGATACTTCTCAAACACAGAAGAATTGACAAAATCATTTCAAAGTACAAAGAAATATTCTAGCAAATTTTGATTTTAAAAGAGTGAATGACACACAATTTATTTTCTTTTTTTTTTTAGATTCATCAGATGGAAGTCTAAAAGCTTCTACGCATTATGGGACAATAGATGTTTATGTCAGTCAATTAAGAACCGTGGATCTGAAATCCGAGAAAGGTTAGCAAACTGAAATGAGTACTTTTTATGGCAGCTTATGATGTAAAAGAAAAGCGAGTAAGGAGGATTTTGTTTATCTGTCTGGAAAAAAGTAGTTTGTGATTGTTCGTTATCTATATTCTTTGTTTATCTCATTGTCATAAGATATATTAATACTGTAAACTCTGTAAAGGGCAATGATACTTAAAATGGATTACAGAATTTTTGTATTTTTCAATACTTTTTTTTCCCTGGCAATGTACCCAACAGAATTTTGCAGAGTTGACCTGGATTACTATCTTTCTTTGCCCCGAGCAGAGTTTACTCTATGACGCCGATAAGCGTATGTGCAGAGTGACAACTGACACACATTTACATTTCTTTTTCCTGCCTTTTCTGAGTGAGATGCCACATTATTTGAAATTGGAAGACAGAAAAACAAAGATGAGAGAGCCTTACCCCACCATTCTTCCTTTTTCTCTCTTGATTACTCACTAGAATTTCACTTCTTAGTTAAAAGCTCACTCCCTAAAGTTGGATTCGTAGTTTTGCCATTCAGAAGATATGATACTGTAAATTACAAAGCCCTGAATACATCTTGCTAGTCCTAGTTTTGCAAAAAAAACCCCACCACAGGGTTTTATGTTTAACATCATGTCTGGCACTGTGGGTGGTTTAAATGAATGTGGTATTTGGTGCCCTTCTCTCATCTGTGAGACAATGCCTGTGCCCTGTTAAAATCTAGCGGTTACTCATAATGGGAATAATGAAGGAAATGCATTGAAATCACTTGTGTGCCACTCTGCTGTACAAGCTATTCTGATTCCATCGGTGCAAATAAATTTATTTTTATATTATTTCTTAGTTACCTGTTGAATTACTTAAGTCTCTTTGAATTAGTATTTAATAAAAGTTAATTCATGATATAGTCAGAACATTGCCTGACATCTCTTTTGGCAGCACAGTTTAGTAAAGGCAAAGTTGATGAAGTTCTGGTTTTGTTTACGCTGTATATTGAGAGTAACGGCTGACAGCTGCAGCGTAGAAAATATCCCATTTGTGATAAATCAGCTGCATGTGTGTTGGATTTTATGAGTCACACCACTGAGCAGCAACTCTCTAGGGAGGACCCAAAGATGAAGACCTTTTCCCTTTCTTATCCAGCATGATTTAGGCCTAAATTATACTAACAGTTATTTGTTCACCAGGACTGTCCCAGGAAAGTGATTCTGCTGTATTTAAATTGCAGAGCTAGAGTTGCTTTCTGACTGCTGCTTATTTGTTAGAACATCAGGGGTTTTTTACCATGTTCTACTTCAGCTTTTAGGATGTATTTAAATAAACTTTTTATGTTTTGAATGTGAGAACTGGGCAAAAACTAAGGAGCACATATGCAGGTAGCATATTCTGAATTTTGTTGAGTTTTTTGTTTTAATGTCTGGGATGCAGCTTCCAAATGTTGTCACAGAGTAATTCCAAATGTTACTGATGTGGACAGATTGGGGCCCAGCATCCATCTTCAGTCTGATGCATAGAAGCATATATTTAGGGGAAGCAAAAGTCAGAATTTATGTTTCTAACCTCAAGGCTAGATTTATTTAGGCTACTAAAACTGCAGTTTTGTTAGTAGTTTGCATCTTAGTGATACATAGTCTAAACTGGTTAATCACTTCTGAGACCGCATGTGTTGGAGGATGTGGACAGCTGGCACTGTGCTGTAAAAGCAAAGACAGCTGCTCACATTAACACTATGTGAGCGGCATCTCCTCGTTCCGGAGGAGCAGTTCTTTCATAATATGCAATTCAGGGGCTGCATTAATCATTAAATCCAATCCCGTGTCCTTCAAGTCATAATACCTGTGAGATCTATTACATTTGCTTCTGTTGATCATTCCTGTAATAAGAACCTCTACCAAGAGCCATTGCTGGGAGTACTTGTCAATGTTAATTTTTACGTCTGCCAAGGAAATACTGTGACACCATTTTCTACATGTGCCATAAAGTGTTCTGGTTATGATAAATGACCTTCATTCATCCTTTCAGAGATAAAGAGGTTACTGTGTCTGAAGGCTTTTGAAAAACTCAACCAAACAAATGACTCAATAAAAGTTAGCTAAATAACTGCCCGTTTCATGCTTTGATCTCAGTGTTAAACTAACTAGCTTTCATTTAAATTTATACCAGGTTCAATTACTGTCAAGGTACCTGCTTCTCTCAAAGCCTATTTACAGTTGTCTGGAAGAAAAGTAGATGTGAGCTCAGAGATCCAGTTAAAAGAAACACAGAGTGCCTCCAAAGACAACCATGTAACTATAAGTGGTAAGGCTTACTAATCTTGGCTTCTAAAAATGTCTGTCTGGCTCTACGCTTCCTTAAGAATTTATTGCTCTTGGCTGCTTCTTGTTTTGTCCATTTCAGGTTCAGATGTTTGCTTGTGCCATTGTACTCCTCATGTTGCTGGATGACTTTTTCACTTTGTTTGGTAAATGACTTGAGAAGACAAACAACTGCTTGTCTAACAAAAGTCTTAGAGGCAAATTCATCCTGAGTTATTTCAGTGAATCTGTGGGAGGTAATCCTGGGCTGAATTTGACCCAATGCTTCGTTATCTGAGACAGTTATACATCATAAATTGCCAGGGAATATATATTAAAAATATAATGAAAAATTTTGTCTTTTTCTCTGTGTTGAGTGGGGAAGGGAACTAAAAGAGGTATATGGCATATTTGTAAATGTGCAGTATAAATGTTAAACAGCACAGGATAGGCAGAGAAGTGATGGGTTGGAGATAGCCCGAAGAACAAAAGAAGCTGGAGCATGGAGGAATAGAGAGTACATGGAAAGGTGCCTGCAATGACTGGAAGCGTTCTTCTGATGCACTTAAAACTGAACTCAGGAATCCCAAGTCTTGCTATTTCCTGCTTTAGAGAACAATTGTACAATTCATTGTCAGGGTGTGTATTTCTCTCCTCCTCTCCAGACGTGTCTATCTAGAAGTTAAGGCTGTTGTTACCAATTACTGGGTTTGCTCAAGAGAAAACATTAACGTAATGTGTCTGAAGGCTCCAGCTTTGTTTTTGAACGTGTTATGTCAGTGTGACCTGATATGATAGCAGATTGGGTGAGGCTTTGAGTTTTTCTTTGGTTTTAAACCTAAGAAAATAAGCACAAAACTTCTTTTCCTCCTCCATGTCAGATGATAATCTCAAAGTCAAGAAATGTTAGAAGCATATATATGTAATGTAAATATGTACCCTACTTTATATAAAATAGTAGTTTTGAAATGTATTGACATAGTTCTTCCTGCCTTGAACAGTAACTAGTGTTTAAATTGACTAGTGGTTATTAAATACAATTTCTTTTAAAAACATGGTTAAAAGTTCTTAGGCTAGAAACCTGTGGAAGGACCCCAGATTCTAGCGAGGCCCTATATAATAAATTCTCTCAGCAATAAAACAACGTTTCTCCCAGTGAGTGAGGACCACTGGTCAGTCAATCATCCTGTTCCTCTCGCAACATTAAAGTTAAGAGTGGTCGTGCAAATATACACAGCTGAGTGGCTTCTCTGGTTTCATGACCCAGGCAGTGTTTATGCAGGACAGTCACTGCTGAAGCGGATGCAATTTTTCAACCTGCCATTCTGTATTGGAATTATCTTGGCAGTTGAGGCTATAAGTGGCCCCAATTAGTTAACCTTCAAGCATACGTTTCTTAAAGACATGGAAATTGGCAAGAATAATGCAGCAGCAACAGCATTAGCCCATTGATTATCAGTTGTTTAAAGAGGTTATGGAATCGCACAAAAAATAATAATCAAAGATTTAAATTGACCATAGTACAGGTGGATGAAAAACAGGCTCTGGAATGGATTTTCTGCAGGATACAATTCAGTTCAACTAGTGCTGTGCTAAAGTAACGTATCTTCACCTGGCTCCTTATACCTGGCATTTAGCTTTGTGTGCTTTTTCACATAATGGACCCAAGGATTTGTATCAGCTCTCTCCTCCCTTTGCTTCACTGGTCAGGAAGAAGCAACAAACCTGAAGGGAGCTGAAGCAGTTGGTTTTAAACCTAAGAAAATAAGCACAAAACTTCTTTTCTTCCTCCATGTCAGATCACAATGCTCCTTTTCTTAGCATTTTAGAAATGCTGCCTCTCTTTCCTTTTCCTAGTAAGAAATACTGCTTTGGCATGGCAGGGAAGATGCTCCCCACTTTACCTCTGTACTCAGCACTGATGAGGCTGCACCTTGAGGATTGTGTTCAGTTTTGGTCACCTCAGTATAAGAGAGATATCGAGGTGTTGGAGCGAGTGCAGAGGAGGGCAACAAAGCTGGTGAAGGGCCTGGAGAACAGACCTTATGAGGAGCGATTGAGGGAGCTGGGTCTGTTCAGTTTGACGAAGAGGAGGCTGAGGGAGGATCTCATCATGCTCTACAATTACTTGAAAGGACATTGTAGAGAGGTTGGTGCTGGGCTCTTCTCACAGGTAATTAGGGACAGAACCAGGGGGAATGGTTTCAAGTTGCAACAGGGCAAGTTTAGGCTGGACATTAGGAAGAAGTTCTTCACGGAGAGAGTGGTCAGAAACTGGAACAGACTGCCTAGGGAGGTGGTTGAGTCGCCATCCCTGGGTGTGTTTAAAGGTCGTTTAGATGGGGTGTTGGGTGATATGGTTTAGGGGTGAATTTTTAGTGTAGGGTCAGTGGTTGAACTTGATTATCCCAAGGGTCTTTTCCAACCTGAATTGTTCTATGATTCTATGATCACATGGGGACAGCATATTCTTTCTGGAGGCCAAGCATTTATCCTCGCATTCTGAACAATCTCTTTTTCTAAAAGCTGATAGTTGAGATTTTTCTTGTACAAGTATGTTCTGAAATAACTAATTCTATATCATGAAAACATTACCTACTGTTGAAGTTTTAGGTACAGAGTCTATAGCTGTCCTCCTGTTGCAACTGATGAAATATAAAGTGGAGAGAGAAGAGGAGTTTTGCCAAGTGAAAAAAAACTTAGCCCAAGAGCAGGGCAGTTTAGATTTTTATGCTTCTGAGCTCGAAGGTTAGTTTAAAAATAGCTGAATTTTCAGAAACTGGCCCGTTCTCATGTGGATAACACAGGAATCAGCTGCTTGCAGGAAGCTTTACTTGCCTCTGGAAATACTGTGAGAGATGTTAGGGAGGACACTCTCCCGTGGGAAGACGTGATAGAGTTCTGTGACTTGGGTAGGCGTGGGCCTTGTCTGTCACCTGCTCTGGGAGGCCGTCCCCACTGCTTTATGTGGCCGTCATGTGCGTCTCATCACCTTGCTTCCTCACTCCCATTTCTACATCGAGTGGGGAAGTCAGTTTGCTACAGTCCCACCAGCAGTCACAGCCAGGGCTTTGTGAGACATCCGGAGAACAGAGCAGGATTTAGTGAAAGTGAGATGAAAGCCTGGAGTGCTCTAGAGGCACCAGGTATGGTATAATGAAATCTGTTCTAACAACAGATTTTTCAAGCTAAGCACTAGTCCAGCCTCCATCTGTGAAAGTGTTTGGCTATCTCGTTTGAGTGCCTGAGTAACTCCAGTAATTTCTGATGGCGACCATATGAGAGCATTTTTTTCTTTCTGACTAGATGACCTTTAAAGGTCCCTTCCAGCCGTACGCATTCCATTATTCCTTTCCTGGGCAAAAAGGGTGGGAAGAGAGGATTCTGCTTAGCCTGTGCTGCGCAATGTCTGTGCCTTCCTTGTGTCTCCAGGTCTGCCTGTATTCTTACATCACCTGGTTTAAGAAGGCTGTAGAGATCTTTAATTATGTCTGGAACTACGTATCGTAAGAGGAAGGGTAGCAGGCTAAAATATATCAAATATTCAAGCAGAAAAGTTGCTCAGGAGCTGTCATGCCAAAGGGGTTACAAACAGATTGAACAGCAGGGTTAAAATTAGTATAATCTTGATTTATATGCTGTGTAGGCCATTTTTCTAATAACTTCTTTTATTTAAAGTATGAAGCTAGGAATAATTACCTGTGTGGTCCCAAGAGGAGAAATATTTCAATAAAAACATCAGTAAACAGGAAACAATGATGTTTCACAGTCGAAAAAACTAAGCAGTGTATTCACATGAGTGTTCTGTAAAACTCAGAATAATCACTTGGCTTTACATGGTGTTAGTAATATTTTGCTGGAAGGTGTCCAGGTTTGCACACTGCACTTCAAAAAGGATATGGACAACTGTAGAGACTGTGAAGAACACGTGATTAGAAGCCTAAAAAAGTGGTTTATGAGGGAATACTAAAAAAAAGTATTGTTTTTGTCTAAAGAAGACTGAAGAATGTGTGCTTTTCCAGTACATAAGAAATTGCTGCAGAGATGAAAAAACTAAACTGTTCTCTGTCCACTGGTGATAGATCTAGAGACTATGATTTGACCTTACAGTAAAGACAATTCAGATAAATAGTAAATAAACTTTCTGGTAATAAGCACTTGTCTGGTGAGGCCGTAGGGCTGTAAGTACTGCAGATTATGAAGAACAGGCTAAGACAAGCATGTCAGGTTAAATACAGCGCATCTTCAGGAGGTTGCTTTTAGCCCCAATTTCTGTTGTCTGAAGTCGATGCTCCCACCCACTCCACAAGACCTCCAAGGAAGGTTATGAGGCATGTGGATGGATAAATATGAGGACTAAGTGAATGCGGCCAGTGGGCATGCTTCCGCCCACTTCCATGGCCAGGCTTGTGTGTTGACAGCTTAAGCTTGCTGGAAAAAATCTTGCGATTATTCAGAGACTCTTTGGATCCTTGTAGCTGATGGTGCTAATTTCCAAATCTAATAGTTTGGGATTTCTTTAAACCATGTATATCTTCCATCTCTGGTGCCAGGGACTCATCTGATTCCAGATCTTTTTTCATCCCTGGCTCCAGCTCTAGTGCTGAGTTCAAATCAGCAGCAGCCTTTGACCCAATGCCATCCATCTGCTTGGTGCCAAGGGAGCTTTTAGCTTTGGCAGTCACTTACTCCATCTGGTTTTCAGTGCTTGTGTGAGTTTCCTTGGTAAAAGTCCCACAGTGCCACAGGTGCTTCTCAGTGGCTGCATATATTTGTCTTTGTAGGTTATCGCGTCTCCCTATTCTTACTTTCATAAGTTGGCAATCCAACCTCTTCAATTTTTCTGTTCTCTTACAAAGAATGTACTCTTTGGGAATGATTGTCTTCTCCCAGGCTGGGATTTTCTTACTCCCTACGTCATCCAGCGTGACAACTGCAGCAGTAACAGGATTATCAGCCTTTGGTAGTAATCTTACCCCATCTACAGCGCTAGAGCTTTGCTGAGGTACGTCTGAACAGTGCTCCTCTGAGCCATGTCTTGTGGTGACCACGGCCACACGTAATAGGGTGCTGCCTTTCATGATAACTTATACCTTCCCTCAGATGTCTGTGCTGGGGCTGGAGAGGAATCTCCTGCTGTGTTCTCTAACCCCCTCTTTCCTGTGAAAGTTTTGCTACCTTTTGGGTTGATCCAGCATCCAGTTATTCTTTTGATTGCTAGAAATTCCTTGGATGGCCTTCTTCCTCCTCTGCCTCAAGGTCAGCCTGTCTAATAACCACATTCCCTTGAAAAGATGGGACATTGATACTACTGTCCCATCTCCTGGTTTTCTGGGTTTCTCCTAATAACTTCAAGTCTTTTCACTGTTTGCTTCTTCAGATAAATTGTGGTGAGAAGCACCTTTCTCCTTAGAACAATTGTTTGCTCAGGCATGCACTGAAATAATAAGGCTTTTGTGTCTGTGTATGGTTAGATCTGGATTCCCCTCTGGAATGCAGGGGATTTAGGTGTTTCCTACCTCGATATCCTTCAGGAGTAACTTACTTCACGCTGCTCACAGAATGGCTTCTCATCCAGTAGTACTGGGAGAGCAGCCTATGAGATGCTGTAGACTTACCCTGTGGAATTACTTCAAAGCCCATGTGAAAGAGGGAGATTTAATTGCTTTTGTTATCAGAAATCCTATGTTTTTTACTTCAAGGTAGTATCTGTGGGTTTAGCTCATGGAGTTTCAGGGTTAAATACAAGCACAGATGAAGGAGCAGTGAACAATGTTAGGCAAGCAGCTTGCCTTTGAGAGAGAAATAACTGAAAGAGCTTGTATTATGGCAGGCTGCTGAAACTGTTAAGTTTCTTCTGAAACTCAGCTGTCGGAGCGTAGCGCTCCTTCTCACATTGTGCAGCTGACTTGAGTCTGTTGCGTTCAGAGTTATGGTTCTGATCCCAGGAGTAACACTATCCACTGCCGTGTCCCTCCCTGTTTTCTCTGTTCTATGTGCACCTCTTAAAAACTTTCCTTCTTTCCTAGAAACAAGTTTTATTGACTCTTTGCCACTAGAATTGAGTGGGAAGAGCTTTGTTTTACAGTGTCCCTCTGAACACTGTCCCTCTGTGAAGCCTTCATCCTTAAGCGATATCTTAATAAAACAAACAAAGACCCAGGTTGTGTCTGGAAAAGATTACATTCCTTCAAGTCAAATAGAAAGTTCATCCAACTTTTATAAAACCCATTAGAAGAGATGCTATCCTACAGATTTTTATTGGTTTCAGCTTGCATTTAACTAAAGCTGTTCACAGCCTTTTTGAGATTAAACTACAGTCCTAACAACACTGGTGAACAATATTTAAAATATGCTTCTCTTCGTGTCTTTTACAAGACAAAAATAGAGCTCTCTAACTTCTCAAATCTCCAGGAAGGCAAGTGAACAAACAGTTGGTAGTTGACTGTGTAAAGTTCTGCAAAGGTGTTCTCTGCCTTTAGACACCACACATGGGGGAAAAAACCCTCTTTTTTCCTGGACCTTAAACTGAAAAGGTCACCACACAACACACCAGTGCATCTGTCTTCTGAGCTCATGCTGTTTTCTTGACTCGTGGGTTTTGAAATGAAATCTCTTTTTTAATCTTTCACCTTATTTTCAGTCCAGCAGGCTGTTGGCTTTTGTGATTTGATCATGCTAGCAAAGTCATCCTCAAAATCCACCGACGTTCCCACAGTATTCTGAGTACAGTTAAGTCCAAACTGTCACCAGAAGGTCTCCAATAAACCTTATTCCTTGATTAGAGCCTCATACACAAAACTATTTAAATGAATTAAGCTTGATTTGAACCTGCTACTGGTGATAGGTTTAATAATCTTAAAATAGTTTGAAGAACTTCATCCCTAGAGAGTGGAACTTGACACCCGCTTTCCTGCAGGCAGTTTGATATTTTCTGCATTCCCTTCGCAGGCAAATCTCCAAAAGAAGCATAAGGAACAAAACATTTTTCTAAGTTCACACAGCAAATGTAAAATGAGAAACAGAGCTCAGACAACAACTGAACTTTAGAACAGCTCTTGTTAATTTGTTTCTGTATTTCTTCAAAACTGTTCTTTAACTTTTTAGCAAAAGCGTAGCAGGATATAAGCAGTTCATGAAACTCTTCATTCACAGGGCTGATTTTTGTGCTCAATGGTTGTTCCTTGTACAGAAGTACAAGCCATGGTGACAAAAACATGAGAGAGAGGAACTGGAACTGATATGCACTTTGTTGAAATATCTCTTTGCCATACATTTATTGTGTCCTCTCTCCTTAGGAAAAAACCCAACAAACTTGTATTTCCAGTGCTATGCAATTCTGCAGATTTTCCTTTGCACTTTGTTGGTTTGGGGTTTTTGACACCTGGAGGCTATTTTCTGCTTAAAATTAATGTTTTAAGGACTCCCTCTACTTAAAAGACAGATCTCGGTTTCATTTCTATTCTGTATTCTCTGATACAATACTATTGCAATTGAGGAAAGCTTTCCAAGGAATTGAAGTTTCAGATATCAACAGATTTAATGTAAAACACATTTGCGCAACTTTGTGGTGATTGTTATAGATTTAAGTTCGTAATTAGATGGGGAGTAGAACTGTAGATTTTGCTTTACAGTAGGAATGGTATCGAGACTGAGCGTGACTGAGGCTGCTGCTGCCTGGAGTGGTCAGGAGTGTAGAAATTGTGCTGGGATGCTCCCATGGAGATCCTTGAAGGCTTGTTGTGGTCTGATAACGAAGGACACTGGAATACCTCTCCATTCACAGGGAGAACTCTGTCAGTGCTGGACTCCTCTAAAAATCCCATACTTATAAACAGTACCTCAGCCTGCTAGTGAATTGATGTGGGTTTGGCCCATAACCTGGAATTAATCTGCCTTCGAAGTACTAAAGGCTGAAACGCTATTGAAAAGTTCTGGCACGTAGGCTTGAGTTGTGGAAACCGACGCAATGATGTCAGTTGGGGTTTTGCCACTGTTTTTGACGTGGCCAAAACTTAACTCCAGCTGCGTTACAGGTCAGAGCAGAGCATGTTTGCAAAGTTGCTTCAGAATCTACTTCCCTGCCATCCCTCATGCTATTCCAGGCTCAGATTAGTTCTAAACTTAGAATTCACTCAGTCACACAAATGCTAAAGTAATAATGAAAGATGTTTCGTAAAGATAAACCCAAGTGAAGGCTGATCTTGTGATAAAGGCACTGATTTGGGACTTAAAAGATCGCAGTTTAATCCCTGTTTGGTCATAAGTATGCATAAATTTGGAAGGTCACTTATTCTCTCTTGGCCTCAGTTTCTTAACTGTAAAATGAGGGTAAGATGAGCTTTCTCTTTAGTCTGTTACACAGCAAACTTTTCAGAGCATGGCCACGCATACTGAGCTTGTGTGAAACGTAAGAAAGCCCCAATAGTAGCATCATGTCTGGTCATCTGGAAAACCAGGTCTTACCCGTGTCTCTTTTCTGTGTGTTTGATAAAGATGAAAACTTTTTCAAATTACTTGCCAGATGAATGTTTGATGTAGATGTGTGCATTGGGTTCGCATGGCAAGGTTTGGTGCTCAACAGGTCTGGTTTACTACCCGGGCGACTTCTGTGAGAAGCTGCTAGAAGCTTGCCCCATATCCGGCAGCCAGCCAGCCCCAAGGTGTACCCACCGCTGGCCAAGGCTGAGCCCAGCAGGGATGGTGGTAGCCCCTCTGGGGTAATGTTTTGAAGAAGGGGGAAAAGTTGCTGTATAAAAGCCATTGCAGCTGGAGAGGGGAGTGAGAATATGTGAGAGAAGCAACTGTGCAGACCCCAAGGTCAGTGAAGAAGGAGGGGGAGGAGGTGCTCCAGGCACCAGAGCAGAGATTCCCCTGCAGCCGGTGGTGAAGACTCTGGTGAGGCAGGCTGTCCCCCTGCAGCCCATGGAGGACCCCACGCCAGAGCAGGTGAAGGTGTTGTGAGTGATCTCCCTGTCCTCATCTTGACCCACGAGCCTTTTGTTGTATTTTCTCTTCTGTGTCCAGCTGAGGAAGGGAGTGACAGAGCAGCTTTGGTGGGCACCTGGAGTCCAGCCAGAGTCAACCCATCACAATGTATTTCCTAGCCCATAATAAAAATGATGGAACTATATAATAAAGAATTTTTATTGTAATAATGTATTATGGAAAATGAGATTAATGCAAAAAACTGTATCAAGAATAAAATATCAGAAGCCTCTGTTAAAAATATATAGATTCTACCAAATAGGAGTCTCATAAGTATTTCCAGGGAGCTTAAAAAAAAAAAAAGTCAATGTGAATGTTGTGTGCTTACTGTATGTCAAATTCTGCTGAAAGGAATTCTCTTTTCCAGGTCACATGAATCAAAGTGATGAAATGGACAAATGGATTAAGGCTGACACACAAAATGGCAAAGTGTGTCTTAAAAGCCAAAGTTGGATCCAGTCTGTCAAGCTGAAGAGTTCTTAAAGGTGAAATAGGCCAAAGAAATTAAATCAAGAAATTGTAAACTGTAAAATTATGAAACTTTGTGGATGTATATTCATAATGTAAGAGAGAAACAATATTAAAAATGAGGGTGTTTCAACCCAAGGTTTGCCCTGACAGTGGCTGGTGCTTAACAGGTCGCGTTTACTTTTAGTGCCTTTTAGGAATGACAAGATCTTACATATTCAGAATTTGTGTAACTTGACCCACTTACCATGTCAGTGTAAAAGCTGGTACTTTTGAAACAAAAGTTTGGAATTGTTTAAAAGGAAAAAGCTTTCTCAACATCTCTTACTTGAAAGTATGAAAATTTACTTCCAAGATAACATGCTTTGCAAGCTGTTTTGTATTTTTAAATTGAATGTCTTAGTACTGTGGGAATTCTATTGATTTATGCAAAATGTGGAGAATTTTCTTCAGCCCAATTATTTCTGTCATAGATGGGATAAAACCACTTTCAGAACCGTAATTCTTACTTGGTTTTCTCATTTGGTGTTTGACCCCTAAGGAGTGTCTGCCTTGTCAATGGGTACTGTATGTGTAAAATTACTTATATGAAATGACAGAACTTGCTCTGTGTCATCCTGAACTACTTGTCTGTGGGTAGAAATAAGAACTCGAGCTTTGTCTACCACTGTTAGCCTGCAAAGAAAAGCTTTAAAAATAAATGCTCCAAGGTGCAATGGATCTGGCTGATTTCAGAGAGGAACACTCCACCAGCTGAGCTTCAGATAAGAGTTCACATGAACATTCCCCTAAAGTAAAAGCTGTCAAAGAATGGAAGCATTGTCCTAATAAATGAGAGCTGAGATCTGTTTATTTGCCACATTTCCAGTGACTTCCCCGCAGCCTTGCATGGCGGGGCTGGAAGCTCTTTGGTGCAGAGGAGGGAGGAGGGGAGGTGCGCGTGCCCTTCACGGGGCATACGTGACTGTTGTGGAGGATTTTGTGTTACTGTAATACAAACACACAGTACATGGAGCTTTTAAAAGCCCTTCCCTATACATATATGGCAACTTATAAAAAACATACTGAAATTTGTGTTTTAAAACTGAAACGTACGAATTCCTGCCAACTGAGTGGATGGAGAAATAGTAATGAGGAGCTCAGAGTGTCAGCTCGGGTGTTAAGTTGCATCTCTGTGTACATTATGAAATGAACTTCTCCTTTCCCACAGGATTCCCCAAGAGGTGTCACTGCCCCTGGCTAATTGACTTCAGTAGTCAAGGGCAGCATTTTTACTATAATTCAGGGTGTTTAAAAACTCCATGTTCTGTTTGCTGTCATCTGTGCTGTTGGTTTGGATGAGGTGGGCACTGATGTGTATGGCACAGTATTTGTATTTTTCATAGAAATGCTAATATATAAAACTTTATTAATGTTCTTACTAAAAGCAATATATTACTAGTTATTATTATTATACTTTTTAAAGGTACAGAATTAATAAATGTGTAATGGGTTTAGATTTCTTGAAAATCTTTTGGAATTAATGATTTCTGTGCGCTGCTGCAGACAAAGTGAAGGAAGTACCTCTCAGTTCCCACCGCACTGAAAACAAAAACGATGTAGTAGGTATTTCACAGTATCGAGTCCATTTAATGGCTTCATTACTCACCAGGAATACAAAGCCTGTCAGCCTCTGTGATTTACGTTGTGCTTTTCAGGACTGCTGCATCAGCAATTTAAGGGAGAGCATATTAAGAAAACATGTTATTTCTGCATTCAAAGAAAGCAAGCTGAGGCATTCATATTCTAAAACTATCTGGAATTTAAATATTAGCATTGTTAGTTACTCGCTCAGAGAAGTTTAAATAAGCCATCAGAAATATTATGCTACTGCTAAAGCTACTTTGATTATATTCCTTCCAAGCTAATAAATGTTGAGACCATCTCGAACTTTAACATAAAGGTCAAGAATGAGCTGAAGAAAGACAAATCTTTGGGAGTTTCCCCAAAGGCATCTGAGTAATGTCTTGTTCTGCTATAATGAGGTGAATGATATTTTTCTCTAGACAAGGAGAGATTAATGTGTTAGTGTTAATTAGGATTTTAGTGGTAAATCCCATGTGTGCTCATTTTATTATATTTTTCTTCCATTGGATGAGAAGACATGTTCTTGCAGCTGGAGAATATTTATCCTTTAACACTTTTTTCATCTGTGCTCCTTTTCATTTGATTCTCCGGACTGTGCCAGCTGCCAGCCAGCCCACAGTTCAGATCTGCAGATGTAAATATCGACTCCCTTAGAGAGCTGAACTCAGCCTGAGAGGCTTTGATGAGAGCTGGGGCTCTGTGTGCACAAGCGAATGCTGAGAAGTAGAGAACGGTGCTTAAATGCCCGTGTGTGGTTGTGTGTATGAAGGAATAAGTAGCTGCTACCTCACTGGTGTTCTTCACTGCTCAAGAACACTGTACTTGATGAGCACCAGCCATGTCAGCTGTGAGGTTCTGTGAGGAGTCAGAGTGTTTATGTCCTGAAGAGGCAAACAAGAACCCCAAACACATGCAGATATATTTATTGCTTACTCTGCATGGGACTACAAAAACTTCTCGTTACTGAAAGATGAGAACAGCTTGAATCGACATCTGAATGTTAGCAATGTTGCTTCTGTGCGGCTGTCTTGCTTGAAGGCGTGCACAATCCTGCAAGAAAGATTTGTGATGCTTCCTCATTAATTCCACAAACAGCATTTTGTTAAAGTATGACTAATTTTAAGAAAAAAATATAGTATTATTTTCATGCTCTAGTGAAAAACGCTTGCACTGTAGAAGATGTGGTGCAATTTCTTCATCTTGCATTTTGAAGAATTTATTTATTCAGGCTCTGATGGGTGGTTTTCGGTTAAGGTGAGTATGTTACCATCCCGATCATATCCAAGCCAGGAAGGAGGGTCAGCATCACTATGTTCTTGTTTCTGCAGTGTGGCTGTATATTTCAAAATGGCTTGTCTGCAACAAGAGTTTAAAAAAAAAAATAAATAACAAAAGTAAAAAAAAATGCGGAGGCCGTTTCTACAAAGAACATTAAAAGCAAAAGTTTCTTGGTTTAACTGAAGCTATCGCTATTATAAAAAGTGTTGTAGAAATTAAAAAGAAAAAAGATAATTGATTAGGTCATGGAGTCACAGAATAAATTAGGTTTGAAGGGGTCTCTGGGGATTATTTATTCCTGGTCTTGCTCCAGATGGCTCCAGTGAGACCAGGTGGGACATGGCTTTGCCAGTTGAGTTCTGAATGTCTCTGGGGATGAAGGTTGCACAGCCTCTCTGGGATCCTTTCAAGTGTTTGACCAGCCTCCTAGTTACACAGTTTCCTTGTATGATAGCAGAACTTTACATGTGCCACTTGTCCTGTCACTGCACCTTTGCCAACAGTCTGGCCATGTCTTCTGTATCCTCTGATCAGAGTTACAGATGTCAGGAAGGTCTCCCCCAGCCCTGAGCCTTCTCTTATGACTGAGCAAAGCAATTCTCACAGCCTCTCTTCACACACCTCACGGTCCTGGTAGCTCTCATCTGTGTTTGCTCTAGTGTGTCGGTGCCTGTCTTTCCTGGGGATCCCAAAGCACAGATCTTTGGGGCTGAGTAGGCGATACTGTTGGAATAACTGCATTGTATTTAGAAGAAAACATAACACCAAATGAGATAAATAAAACAGTTATGTCAACAGATATCACAGAATCTCAAAAGTGTATTTTCTTAGCTGTGTAGGAAGGCTACAGTAACTGTGCAGGTCCCTATCTCTGTTTTCTTCCTTGAGCAGTTTCTGTGGCATTTCCAAGTATTTGTACCCTTTCCTGATGGACCTTCTGCTTTCTTTTTGGTTAATTTTTCCACTTTTAGTTACCTTCTGTCATCCACCCCTTTTTAGAGTGTATTGTTCCTGAAATGGAATTGGATCCATGATGTGGATGTGTGTTACGGTACCTGCACTGGCCCAAGCTCACCCCAGGACTGCCTTTTGCAGCTTCTGTGATAGCCGAGCCAGAAGAGAATTGCTTATAATGTCCAAAAACCATTGATGACCCCTCTGATATTTGTGGTCTCTGTCCCTTTGCAGACTTCGAACACACCAAATTAGAACAAAATGACCCAGCAGAGAACCGGGCCTGCTGAGTGAGGCACCCTCACAAGGAGGTGAAGAACAACTCTCTCACTCCTTTCCAGGCAGTGTCAGTCCAGCAACTTTCATTGCCTTCCCAAGCTGAAAAAACTCAGCCCGCCACTTGGAGTCTTTTGAACGTCTCTCTCTTTCCACCACTCCTGCGACTTGGCTGTCGGCCCGCTCCCGGCTGGGCCCAGCACCTGCCTCCCCTGGCCTCCCCCCAGCACTGGCTCCTGCCCCCCAGACATCTCCCCCGAGCTGAGCGCGCTCATGTGCTCGCTGGGGAAGGGCCAACTCTCTCCATCTCCCGTCCTCTTTAGGAGATTCAACCTAATCTGGCATGCCACAGCCACAGCGAGGTAGCCAATTTCCTAAGCTCCGTAACAGAATATAATATATGACATCTAGATAGTAATAGAAAAAATTCAAATTAAAGGGCTCTGTTATCTGTCAGTGTTGCTACTACAGTTTTTTGTCTTTTTTCCCAAAGTGAAAACACTGCTGGTGGTTACAGAAGAGGCAGACACACAGCTGTAATTCTTGCAGTACCACAACAGGAAAGGGGAAGCAGGGAGGAGTGCAAAAGGGACAAAATTAGCGAAGCAAGGAGGTCTCCTTTTCAACTGCTGTGGGATACTTTTTTTAACTCTAACACTGACACACTGTATGAACCACATGAACACAAGGCTGTATCTGTTTTTATATTAGGGAGGCCTGTGCCATTCAGGAATGTGAGCACAATTTATATGAGCTATAAGCTCTAAGCTATAAAATACAAATCAACTCATCCAAGTCCAAATTCCTGTTTTTCATGGAAACTGCAATGTGTGGTGTGTGTCTGAAGCATGTATAAGGGGACCTGTTGCTATTTTTTTGGAAGCTTATGCTGTCCCATGCCTGGAGCTACAGTTGATTAGTTTGCCAGAAACAGCCATTCATTAATCATCAACACATGGCAATGTACATCACTTAAATTTAAGATACACCGGACTAGGATAGAGCCTGCTTACTTATTTGTGTAGTATCTTAAATGAGCACATTGATGAATAAAAGCATTTCAGCAAATAACTACGATTATCTTTGGCAAAGCAAAGAAATCTTAGTGTAAGTCAGACAAAAGTACTGGCCCAAACACATGGCTTGAGTAGCACTGGAATATATAATCAAATCCTTACTCAAGGTTTCAATCCCCTTTACTACAAGGGGCTAGCTAGGAAATACAGTTCTGCATCACAGTCTGAATCCTGAGCAATTCCAAAATTCAGAAATGTCTGAGTGGGTCCATCATAATAAAACCACAGGTTTTGAAAAAGACTTTTTGAAATGAGGTTACAAGAAACAATCAAGAGGAAAAAATAATGGAAAATAAAATCTTAAAACATGGGAGAAGTTTTTATAGTGCAAATGCAGGAGAAATTAAGCTGAAGAGGCAAGAAGAAACAGGCAGCTAATGGGAAAAACAGAGAGCATCCTGCCAGCGTGCTCCAGGTTACAAAAAGTGATGAGAGAGACTAAATAAAATCAAGTATTCTGAGGCCTACATCAGCTGCAGTAGTTGTATCATTTTACGGCTCTCAGCACAAATGCTCATGATGGCTGAGAGAGATTTACAGTCAGTGAGAGGCCAGTATGATGATATTTTTGTTGCTTGTTCAAGAGAAAACTTAGGAGTAATTAGTCTTAGTCCTTTACCAAAGCATGTGTAGGCTGTCTTCATTTCCGATTACATGTGCGTTGGACTCCCAAATCCTTCCTGCCTCGAGACTTGAATGTTTGGATAATGCCTAAGTAATTCTGCTTTTTGAAGAAAACAGAGTTCTTACTGTCTTCTTTCTAACCAAAAGCACCCATCAGAAAACACAACACAACAACCAAACAAACATCAGAATATTCTCCACGTGTTAAATGTATTGCAGCTATTAAGACTCATTGTAATTTCTGTTTAAAAGGCAAAAATTTGCAGTAGTATTTGTTGTCACTTTTTAACAGAGTAGTTTAAAAGAGAGAGTTTAAAAGAAATGTAAGTGGCTTCATGTTAGTGCGGACAAGACAGAAGGAAGCATTTAACTTTCCTCTCAAAGAACAGCTTTTGGTGGAACCAAACTGTTACAGACGTGGTGCAGTTGGGTGAGAGCACAAGGCAGGCTGGCTTCTCGAGGCAATGGCAGATTTCCTCTGTCACTTTGCACCCAGAAATGCTGCTAGAGAGTCACACCTTTCTCAGCACTGCAGCTGATTTTAAATGGTACTTGTGAAGTTTAAGAAGAAGATCCTACAGGGAAGAGAAGTGTCTCTCTGAAGATCCCAGTGTCTTATTTCTTGTAGAATTAGTCCTAAGTGAATAACAACCAATATAACCTTTTCCTACAGAAGCCACATTTTAAAAAGCAGAATAAATCTGAAGTACCAATATCGTATACTCCCACAGGCATTCTTTAGGGCATTTAGAAACAGGATTAATTGAAAGGTCATTAGCCTCTGGATACAGAAATATGCAGCAGGCCATAGCCCTTTTCTTTCTTCTAACATTTACTAAACCTGGAACTAGGCTAGCATGTTGGCAAATAGTTTATTGAATGCTACCTGATACTGGAAAGAATGGACCATTTATATGCTCGTAACTGTTTCCTATGAAGCCACACTGGACTGAAACTTGAAGAACTTTGTGGCTCCATATGTTTTCTATTTTAATCTAACAAAACAGTAAAAATAAAACTTCTAAAAAGAATGTGACCCAATGCAAGAGATATGCCTCGATATTTGCAAGACTCGGTCTATTAAGAAATGTCTGCTAGGACTGGTTAGTGTTCGGTCATAAATAATGGGGAATTCCGTTGGCAAAAAGAAGTATACATGATTTGTAGATTCCGTGGGGCAACTTTAAACTAAAACCATGTTTCTTCTATTGCTTATTTAGAACATTTAGTTCTCCAGATTAATCTGAATTTTACATAGATGTCCTCTTCCATCTCTTTAAAAAGGGAATGAAGTGTTTATGAAAAGTACGTGTCACACCTGCAGAATGTAATTTACACCTGAAACCAGCCTTTTCCTCTACATTCTGTGAAAATCTTAGAACCTGTGCAAGGTTTTAAGAGTTAGTCTGAAAACAGAGAATGAATCCCCACTGATCATTTTTCTAACATTCTGTTGCTTATTTTTCATTACTAAACCCATAAGGTTGTGAATTTAATACATAGGTTTATAAAAATATATTGTGACATTAGCGACAGTACTGGCACTGCTTTTGGCGTCACTGAAAAACTACTGCAAGACCACTAACTGTAGAATCACTGCTGTATTTTACTGTGCTTTTGATGTGGTTATTGGCAGAAGATAAATTTTTATCATCTCTGCAATATTGTCGTTGAACTACAAAAAACCCCCCGTTTTCCTAAAGCGTGACTCATACAGGATGTGGAATATATCTGAATCTGTCTGTGAAATCCTTATTCTTTTCTGAATATCATTTTACCTAATGACAATTTTAGAGTCTGACTGAAAAGCCACTCTAATATTAATGTGGCCAGCCTATTTTGCAGACCGGCAAGGTCTGGGGAAGCTTTTCAGTTCTATTGGAAAGAACAAGCTAAAAATCTTCAGTGCTGAATTATTCTATGCAGTCGATCCACTTGATAGTTTTTGTCCCAGACTCAAATGACACGAGGTAGGAGTTGCCTTTCATAGAATCATTCAAGTTGGAAAAGACACCTGGGATCACATTGAATGTCTTAGGTTGGAAGGGACCTTAGAGATCATCTAATGCAACCCCCCTGCCATGGGCAGGGATGCCCTTAACTAGACCAGGTTGCTCAAGACCTCATCCAATCTGGCCTTGAACATCT